TCAGGACATGGCGGCAGCAGCAACAACAATACTACAGCGAGAATAAAAGTTACGCCTTCTTTCTTTGCGTGAACATTTGGGCGGCGTTATGCAAATCTTCCCACATAGTGAGGTAGATATGTGGGGGCGTGTTCGAACGAGCCATTTTAGGTAGGTGTGGCTGACTCTTAACTTTTATAAAGAATATCTCTTTGGATTTGAGACTTTAGTCTTTGCAACTTTACAGATCTTCTTTATGCACCAAGAGCTTGTAACACTCCAAAGAGAAAGGAAAAAATTAGATTGCATCATATGACCCCTTTAACCTAGAATCTAGAAACCTGAAACAACAGATCTATTCTACAATTTAAGTATTCATATGTCTCTCTCTCTCTGTGTGTGTGTGTGTGTGTGTGTGTGTGTCACGCTGCAGCCAAGCTGAGTGAGAGTGACCATGTGTGCACTGTGTGTGTGTGTGTGTCACGCTGCAGCCAAGCTGAGTGAGAGTGACCATGTGTGCACAAATTATTTGCACAATAACTCGCTCATTCTCATGTTACATGTTTATCGGAGCAATCACCTTAGGATACTTCGTTTACTCTATTTTCTAACTCGGTAGTTGTCAAACCCGTTGTAGAATCGCTGCTGTTTCGTTATTGAATGGAATATTCACATCAGACAATGCGGAGTGATAAATAGCAGCGAACGTTAGGACTAGGGATGTCCTGGGATTTTACTATAGTGCTGTTCATAGGCTACATGCTCTGGTGAGAGAGGCGGGCAAAGGTAACCTGATGTAACTGTCCACAGGCGACTTAGAACCTCAGGAGCTCAGGAGCAACTGCTGCCGTCTCTCCCTCATCAGGCTCAAGATTAGGGCTACTATTGCCAAACATCTCTGTTATTTATTTATTTACTTATTATTATTAATTTTTTATATTTTGTAGCGTCAGTCTCTAAGGACTTTGCTTTTTTTCTTTTAGCTTCTCCCAGCCGCCTTTGTCTTTATGTATTTTGCTTGTCATCACGAGCCCACTCTCCTTCGGATCAGTTTCAGTTTATTACAAGCAAAAAAAAGATTGCATTAGCGCCCCCTTTTTTGGCTGTCAACGTCACTTAATGTCGGACAACGGCCATTCTGGACTTCTTTTTTCACCTTTATTTATATGCTTTTAACAATACAGATTGTGTCAAAGCAACTGTACAGCATTAATTAGGAAAATAGTGTGTCATTAATGCAAAATTACAGTGGTAAACCCTCAAATTTCAGTTAAAGGCAGTTCATCATTGAATTCAGTGATGTCATCATCCAGCTCAGTTCAGTTTAAATAGTATCTGTGCAATCCAATCGACGATATCGCTGGAAATGAAGTGTCCCCAACTAAGCAAGCCAGAGGCGACAGCGGCAAGGAACCAAAACGCCATCGGTGACAGAATGGAGAAAAAACCTTGGGAGAAACCAGGCTCAGTCGGGGGGCCAGTTCTCCTCTGGCCAGACGAAACCAGCAGTTCAAATCCAGGCTGCAGCAAAGTCACATTGAGCAGAGGACTCAACTGGTTCCTGTGGTCTTGTCCTGGTGGCCGTCTAGGAGACAAGGTCTTCACTGGGGATCTGTCTCTGGGGCTCATCTAGTTGTCCTGGTCTCCGCTGACATTCATGGGTGTCGAGGTCATCTCTAGGTCCTGATCCACCATCTGGGCCCATGTGAGTGCTCCACTCATATACCGTTTATGCTCATCGGAACAGCAAAGTCCACTCAAAAATCGAGCTGACAGGAAACATCGATGTAGTACAGTATTGTTTCTGTTTGCAATAGCCCTACTGTGCTGTAACAAGGTGTGATAAATGGGCTAAATGCTAACCGTTATGCTCACGTGTCCTCTGATAATAATAGCTTTCTAGGATTAAACATTATTTGGATAATTGGTAAAAAAAAAATATCTCTTAATAGCCCTACTGTGTGTTAAACCTACCTGAAAAACTAAAAAGCAATTTATTTCATTTGTAGGCTTATCGTTATTCTTTATTTGTGCTATCATTAGTAATTTCTTTATTTGTTCTTATTTTATTATCAACTGCTTTGCCTCCTTGTCATTTTTTATTCAATTCAAAGTTTTAAATCAAGCTATCTCGTGCTACTGCAACAAAATTACCCAACTGTAAAATCAAAAATACACTGAATGAGCAAAACTAGCTTATATATAACTAGCTATCTCACAATGTTTACACATGAATAAAAGCCTACATTAAAATCTGTAATATAAATTGGTCTTTTCATTAGAAATTGGCCTACTGATTGCCACCACTGATGGACAATTTTTTTTAATAATATTAAAAATATCTGTATGACAGTGTATTCTGCAGTTCTTCCCTGCTGTACCGAATATCTATACTTTTCAAAGTATCATATCGAAGTTAGAAATTAAAATGTTGTGACAAAATTAATTTTGTAGGGTGCCACAAATTTGTTAAAATTTCCAAAGTGTGCCACGACTAAAGAAAGATTGGGAAACACTGGTCTATGCAAGCCCTAATGTACTTGCATCATTTGTAATATGTTTCATCTCAGGGTTTTAAATCGACTCCAATTGTTGAGACGGGACACTTTGGAACAGTCAATGCTGATCCTAATTTTAATGCCCAGAATGATGCTGCAAAATTAAAGAAAGCCATTGAGACCAAAGGTAAAGTGCAAAGTTAGCACTGTTTGCTCTGTTCTGATTGACATCATCACAAACAGGAGTGAAGCACAGCTGTGCAAAGGTAAGTGGAGGAATCAGATTCCTCTTCAGAGATAGTTGATTTTTATGCCATTTTGGAGTAGTTTAGCACTAACAGTGTTGTTTAAAATCTACAGTTTTACAATATTATGGCCAACTGAGCAAAGATGGTTTTGCCAAATATCTTGAAAACTTAGGTTAGGTACAAATATCCAAGATTAACTAAATTTATGTCTAAAAAATATGGAATGTTGTTCAAATTCACTTTTTAGTTATTATTTATAATTAATAATAACAAGAAGAATTATTAGTTTGTTTATTTTTGCATTAATAATGTTCTTACTGTCTTTTTCATGTTTTAGTGAAGTCTGCTTGGAACAAACCTGCCTACTTTGCAGAAAGGCTCCACCTGGCTATGAAGGTAAACTTGCAGAGAAATTCATAAAATGTTTTCAATTTGATCGAATTTGTCAGTGAATGTTGGTGTTTCTTATATCTGGCCTAATGATCAAAGAGGCTAGAACTATTTTGTATTTCTGGAGATGTTCAAATAACGCTTTTTCTGACCTAAAGGACATCAGGGTGTCAATATTGTGATGAAAATGACTATCAAATCTATATATCACTATATTAAGCAAATTTGCATTTTCACAAATAACTCCAGAATTGGTCTGATTTTTTTTTTTTTAAACTAATACCATTATAACTGCATATCAAAGTTTTAGGAGTTTAAAGTTGTCTTTGGTACAAGTGCTAGCATTTTAACAAATGGACTAACAAAAATAGTTGCCAACAGAATTCAGTCACATCATAGACCACAGGAACCAGTTGAGTCCTCTGCTCAATGTGACTTTGCTGCAGCCTGGATTTGAACTGCTGGTTTCGTCTGGTCAGAGGAGAACTGGCCCCCAGACTGAGCCTGGTTTCTCCCAAGGTTTTTTCTCCATTCTGTCACCGATGGAATTTTGGTTCCTTGCCGCTGTCGCCTCTGGCTTGCTTAGTTGGGGACACTTAATTTTCAGCGATATCGTCGACTTGATTGCACAGATATTATTTCAACTGAACTGAGCTGGATGATGACATCACTGAATTCAATGATGAACTGCCTTTAACTGAAAATTGAGTGTTTACCACTGTAATTTTGCATTAATGACACACTATTTTCCTAATTAATGCTGTACAGTTGCTTTGACACAATCTGTATTGTTAAAAGTGCTATATAAATAAAGGTGACTTGACTTGACTTGACTTGACATCATCAAATCAGTTAAACTGCAATATGGTCTTGTTTTACAGGGATTGTGAAGCAACACTGACACATTGACTAGAATCATTGTGAGTCATTCAGAAATTGACCTGCTGAAAATCATTCGAGAGTACAAGAGGATGAATGGCAAAAGCCTTCAGGAAGACTTCTGGTGAGTCTACGTAACTCATAATGGGCGATCTGAAAAGCTTTTGAATTCAATTTTGCATTCTTAGATCACTCGTATTTAAAACATCAATGAAAAGTGGTTTCTGTGTTTTTACAGAAAGAAACAAGTGGAGATTATGAGAAGATCCTGCTGGCTGTCTGTGGGACTCAATAGACAACAATAAACAACAACTTTATTCAACTGGATCATGCTAAACACATCTGTTCATGAAAGGGGTGTATTCATGACCCGTGTAAACATCTTATCTCCTCAGGGTGTGTCTCTTCAGGAGTGTTTGAGGTTTATTCTTGATATCGATTCATTTCTTGAGTTCATGTGAATAAAACAAATAAATTCAGAAACACATTTTTAAATTACCTGAAGGTAATTATATTCATACACAATGAAGACATCAACAATTAAATAAATGTAAAACCAAGTATCATAAAAGAAAGAATCAAAAACAATTAAGAAAAAAATGTATACAAATAAGTATGCAGCAAGCAAATCATTTTAAAAAAGCAAATTGATTATGATCTAACCAATGCAGTTTAATATAATAATGTCATGAATGGACCTTGGGCCTATTATTCAGTGTCCCCAGTGTTTCTTGTTTGCTGTACAAGCACACAGTGCACCTGTAGAAACTGATAGGACTGTAATTGGAGAAGATGTGCCACAGGCAACAGATGCAGCGGAGCCATCACAGTGGAGTAGCGCTCACACAGTCAAACTAGGTCCTTTAGGAACTTTTTTTTTTTACAATTGTTTGACAGTCCAGTCTGTTGTAGACAATGTCAGGCCACCTTTTAATGAGAACTTTTCAGTGAAGAGCTTCATCAGACCAATATCTCTGCATGAAGCAGAGAGCATAACCATCTGAAGATGTCTCCTACAGCACTTTTTCCATATGCATTTTTACTTGGGATTGGACTACAATATGTCCAGACAAAAATCTACACAAACCGCTGGGCGGTTAAAATAACTGGAGGCCCTGATGCTGCTGATCTTATTGCAGGAAAGTACGGATTTGCGAACATGGGCCAGGTAAGTACTTTGCAGAAATGTATTGCCAGTTAAGTATGTTTTGTTTGGTAACATCTGATAAAAGCTGAACAGTCTCACTTTTTACAATATAAACTGGGTATTATCTAATTTTTTTAACTTTTAATTTATTATTTAAAATGTGTGTTTTCCTTATTGAAATGCTTATTATGTATCTCAAAGACTTTTTCAGAATAGATAGTATTCTTTTGTGTTCTCCTGTTTTCTGTATGATCCCAAAATTGTAATTGGCAACTTTTCATTATGATACAGTAATGGTCACAGTTGGTAATTGGTACTTTGTTGGTACTTTGGAAAATAAATGTTATTCCAGTCATTGAAAGTGGAGGATGATGTTTCACCAGGTCCAATTACTGCTAGGATAAAACTTCATAGACCAACTCATTCTTATGAACACATTCTCTGTAAACACAAACTCTAGAATTAGTTTTCTTTCAAATTAGCCTTTTATTCTTACCGAGCCCATGTCTCTGGGTCACTGGCTCTTGTATAATAAATGTGTTTAACCATGCAAGACGAGCTCCTAAGCTCCATGGCATCTTATACCCTACTTCAGTTAGTTAACAGGCACACTTTCTTTTGCCTCCTAGAAGAGAAAATAAGTAAGGAAATTGCAGTGCAAATACATTTTAGATGTGATTTTAATTTCATTTAATATTTGAGGTTTACAATAAATAAAAAATGAACAAAGGTGTGCACATATAAGAATGCAATCGAAGTAATCTAAATTATGCAACTACTGTAAATTTGACCCACAGTGTAAAACTGTGTAAAATGTAAAACTGTCAATACATACACACTATTGTTCAAAAGTTTGGAGTCAGTAAGACTTTTATTTATTTATTTATTTTTACATTATTCTTATTTTTTCTAATTAATACTTTTATTCAGCAAGGGCACATTAACTTGATCAACAGTGATAGCATGGGCGACATTGGGGGGGGGGACAGTTATTCTTTACTGTGTTGGATTGACTGCTTTGATGCGTTGCAATACGGTAGGGTATTGTTTTGATGCTTAGGCCTACATTTATTTATTTATTTCATTTATATATATATTTTTCAGAGAAATGCTTTTCTTTTGAACTTTCTATTTATCAGAGGAACCTGAAAAATTTATCATGGTTTCTACTAAAAAATATTAAGCAGCACATCTGTTTTCAACATTGAATATATTAAGAAAATGCACCAAAATTAGCATATTAGAATACTTTCTGAATGATTAAGTGACACTTGAGACTGTAGTAATAGCTGCTGAAAGTTCAGCTTTGCCACTGACAGAAATGCATTTAAAAATATATTAATATAATTACATAATTTATCAAATTTATATAATTACACATACATACACTTAATTTTTTCCTGTTTTGTTATGTTGCTGCTTTATGTTAACCTGCTTTAAATTACTTTTCTTTCCCCATCAATTTACGCGCCATACACCATAATGGCAAAGCAAAAAACAAAAAAAACAAAAGTCTATTTTTTTGGAAATTTGTTAAAAATAAAAACCCCTGTCTGGAACAGTTGAAATGCAGGAGCATTCATATTGCTTGTAGATGTTATTACACTTCGAGTGAAGATAACCTGTGGGTAATTCAATTGAATGGGTATGATTTGGAAAGGCACACGTGTCTTAATAAAATGTCTAACAGCTGAAAATGCATATCGACGTGAAAACCAAGCTCTGAGGTAAGAAAAAAAATGCCTGTAGAGCTTAGAAACAGGATTGCATCAAGCCACACATCTGGGGAAGAGTTCAGAAAAAGTTTGCTTCATTGAAGCCTTAATGGAAGAAGTTCGAAACAACCAGGACTCTTCCTAGAGCTGGCTTCCTGGCCAAACTGAGCAACTGATGGAGAAGGGCTTTGGTAAGTGTGGTGACCAAGAACCTGATGGTCACTCTGGTTGAGCTTCATGATCATATGTGGAATTAGGACAAATCTAAAGAAGGGCAAACACCACTCCAACACTCCACAGATCTGGGCTTGATGGCTGTGTGGCAAGAATATATCCTCTCCTCAGTGAAGACACATGAAAACACACTTGGAATTTACAAAAAGGCACCTAAAGGACCCTCAGACTGTGAGAAACAAGATTCTCTGGTCTGATGAATCTCAAGTCCAAGCAAGCATCATGTTTGAAGCAAACCAGGCACTGCTCATTACCTGCAGAGTACCATCCCAAAAGTAAAGTGTGCTGGTAGCAGCCTCATGCTGTGGGGCTGTTTATCAGCGGCAGGGACTGAGGGACTCATTCGAGTAGAAGAAAAGGACAATGATTGTCCTTCCAACAGGACAATGACACTAAGCACACAGCAAGAGTGGCTTATAGACAACTCTGTGAATGTCCTTGAGTGGCCCAGCCACAGCCTGAGCTTGAACCCAATCAAATATTTCTGGAGAAACCTGAAAATGTGCATCTGCCCACATCCAACCTGACAGAGCTTGAGAGCTGAAGAGCTGAGGAGAAGAATAGCAGATAATTGCCAAATGCTGATGAGCAAAGCTTGTCGCATCATACCCAAAAATAATTGAGACTGTAAAGGTGCTTCAGCTTAGGATATGAATATTTAGGCAATGTACTTATTTAAGTTTTTTTTTCTTTTTATTTTGGGACAATTCTATTTTTGCTTTGTCATTATGATGTATGGAATCTAGATTGATGTGGGAAAAAAGTTATTAAAAGCAGTTTAACATAAGGCAGCAACATAACAAAACATGAAAAATTGAATACTTTCGCAAGATACTGTATATTATTATTATTATTATTATATTTTAAATAAAATTTATTTTTAAATTAGTAATTTTTAAATTGTAATAATATTTCTCAAGATTAGTGTTTTTACTGTACAGTATTTTGATCAAATAAATGCCTTGATAATAATACAACACTTCTCTTAAAAACATAATATATATTTATAAATATATAGATTTCTGAAAAATGTTGTCAGTAGAGCTTGGAATATTCATGTAGCACTACTTTTAGGCCAGTTTGAACCCCGGTTTGATTAGACAGTTTATTTAGCTTTGTCTAATTGCACACATGTTTTCTTTGCTAACATGTAAGATGCTGACTTCCTCTACTCAGTCAAATGAAATGTGTAACTGCCGTCCACAGCCCCGCGGCTGTTTAGTTTTGGTTAAATCTGGTATGGCTTCGGCCAACATCATAATGTCAAGGCACAGGGTGTCAAAGTGTAATCAGCAGCCAAAGTTTAAGCTCAGCTGAATCGTGCAGTGGGAGCTCAGGTTGCCTCTGATGGTAAGTCAATCAGCGGTGTAGGATAACCCTTTTGTTGTTTCAAAGGCATACGTCAGGGATGAATACATAATTTATATCTCAGTGTCAGTCACACTTCAGCAGCGGCTGTATATATAAAACAATCTTCTTCCCCTTGTGCCGCTGCAGATTGGTGGGCTAGTGGGCTATTACCAGTTCCAGCACAGTGGAATCATCAAACGGTCCACAATTAAAAGCAGAGGAAAGCACAATCTCATCACCACAGAGAACAAGGTACAAGGATCATATACCTTCAGTCACTGAGACACCACTGAATAGTTAATAAGTTATACTACACCACCCTATAAACACCACACACACTTACCAAAACAGATTAAGACGGTACACCAAACCACACGGATGCTTCCTTAAACTTGCCAAAAACATAACGAGACATTGATAACTGCTCTTAATGAATATTTCATTTAATTCACTGTGGTTTGTGAAGCATGTTATGTTGCCCAGCACATCACAAATATGTTCTAATGCCAAAGGTGAAGTGGATCCAGCAACAGATGGTTCAGAAGAGAGTAAAAAGAACCGACACAACGGACCAAACCCACGCCACCAGCTTCAATGACCCTAAATGGGACAGCATGTGGTATATTGTTAGTATGCAACACATTACAATCAGAAATTTTATATGCAGTTAAAAGACATTATTAAATTGAAAAAATTATTTCCACAAAATGTGTTATATCATATTAAAATATCCCTTGCAAACTTTTAAAAAGAATACCTTTTATTACCTTTACTAAAATGTACAAAATGTGTTATATTTGCCTTCTCTTTCATAGCACTGTGATCACAACTGCTTGACCGACATGAACATTCAGGCCGCCTGGCGCAGGGGCTACACTGGGAAAGGGGTTGTTGTTTCCATTCTGGATGATGGTATAGAAAGACAGCATCCAGATCTAAAACAGAACTATGTAAGTTCATGAAAAAAAGGACAGATATTTGCATAAAGAAATCTGAAAAAATTGTTGTGTATATTATTTACTTTTTTTTTTTTTAAACTTAAGAGAAGGGTGGCTGGTATAATCTGATATACTGTATGTTTATAATATTATATAAATTATTATATGCACTAAAAAATAAAAACATTATCCATTGACAAACCTGGTGGTTTATATTCTAGTAATCAGCCGAGTTGAAATTGTTACTTGTCAATGACCTCAAATACTGTGTGAATAATCAGCAAGACCCCTATATTGGTCTGTCAAATTTTTATTCTATAGATTTAAAATTGTGAGTGGGATATGACAAATATGAAGGACTATTAATATGTTGTCTATATGCTAACAGACGTTATTAAAGGGATAGTTCACCCAAAAATAAAAATTATGTCATCATTTACTCAACCTCACCTTGTTCCACACCTGTACGATTGTTTTGAACACAAAAGAAAATATTCTGAAGAATGTTGGTAACCAAACAGTTATTGGTAGCCATTGACTTCCATAATGGGGTGGGGTACTATGGAAGTCAATCGCTACTGTCAGTGGAACTGGTTCTTCAAAAAGAACCAACATTATTCAAAATATCTTCTTTTGTGTTCATCAGAAGCAAGAAACTCTTACAGGTTTGGAGCAAGTGGAGAGTGGAAATGATGAAATAATGTTCGTTTTGGGGCAAACTGTCCCTTTAATGTGTAATTTTATCTTTCTAAGGATGCACGAGCCAGCTATGATGTTAACAGCAATGATCCCGATCCAACACCACGTTATGATGCAACCAATGAAAATAAGTCAGTCCATTTCCCTCTCACTCACTCTCCACATATTTTTATTTTAAAATGCATAAAAATTACAGTTAGTGCACCAGACAAATATGAGGTTTTCTTTTCTTTGTGATTTCACAAAAGACATGGGACAAGATGTGCTGGTGTGGTTGCTGCCTCTGCAAACAATTCCCTCTGCATTGTCGGAATTGCCTACAATGCAAAAATTGGTGGTGAGTTATCAGAAGTGTTTGTTTATGTATGCATACATGATATGCCTCTATGGCTTTGGTAAACTGCCTGTTGTTATGCTTCATGCAACAATAAACTGTTACTGTATGTAATATTATTCATATCTATGAAGCTGTGTTTCCCAATTTCTCTTCCCTGCACATGTAGGTGTGCGCATGCTTGATGGCGATATGACTGATATGGTGGAAGCCCAATCCCTCAGTCTGAAACAGCAGTATATTGACATCTACAGCTCCAGCTGGGGTCCAGATGATGATGGCAGAACAGTAGATGGCCCCGGCCCTCTTGCAAGGCTCGCTCTGGAAAATGGCATCCGCAAAGTTAGTGTGTGTTTGTGTGTCTATGTACATTATAAGGCAGTCTGAGTCAAGACCAGACTTTACAAGACCCAAAGACCAACACTAGACTCCCTTTGACCATTTTTGGAAAGTAATAAAGTATTATTACTTTGCTATTGCACTTAAACCTACATGTAACTTTAGACCATTTGAGTTTTATTTCTGATAAAGCTTTAAATTATTTGCAGAGGGACATTGTTTTGGTAATTGCAAAAGTTATGCTTCAGCTCTGCTGTTCTATGTGGATGAATCTGATGAGTACCGGAGTACAGTTTGTTCCCTTCAGGGTTCCCACGCTTCTTGAAAGTACTTGAATTTTGTTTATGGCGCTATTTAAAAAAAATTGTCCTATATGTTCTGTCAAAGACAGAACAAGCAGCACTAATGATTGGGGGTGGAGATGGGGGAGCGCGAAAAAAAAACTTGTGTGTGTTGTGTTGATGTGCAGCCTAGAGCCCTGAGCGGGACAGTTTTCTTAAGCCCGCTCCCGCTGAATTTCTGACCATTACCGCTCACTCCCGCAACGTGTGTGCTACGCTCCCGCAAACATTCTTATTGTCTCATTCTATATATTTCATCAACGAAAATAGTTCCAAATATAGTAACAGCTGAGCAGCTGCACATCTCTAAAAGCAAACACAGCCGAGTTTCATTCATGAATGAACGTGTGTTTTTGAACGAATCTAGTGAGTCAGTGATTCATGATTACCCATACATAAAGATTTCATTCCTGAATGAATCAGCTGTTCAAACGAATCAATTGAATTAATGATTCAGTGATAAAATCAGTGACTTACCGCCACCTACTGGTGGATTTAGTTAAATTTTTAGCGTATAATTTCAATTATCTAAATAATTTAATATTTCTGTATTCAAAATGTTATATTTAAAACATTAATCTCCACATGAATGTATGAATTTAATTGCACTCATGCCATCTCTGAGCCTCATTAAACGTCTGAAAATGTACCTACTTTTGTACACTTCTGTGCCACCTCTGTAGTACAAATTAATTAATTTATACTAATTTCATATGATTGGTAACTTATTTGTCGTATTCTACTTCTTATATTGTTTTAAATAGACATTTTAAAAGGCTTATAAACATACATTTTTGAATTTGACATAGATGAAAATTATGCCATTACAAAGATAAAAAGAAAATACTCCTGTAAGTCACTTTAAGGAGTCAAATGTCATCTCGTATTAGAAAGGATCATTTTTTATCAGAATTTTTGATTATTGATCAGAAGGTGCTCCTTTTTTTATATATATATATATATAAATTAGGAGGACAAGTGCTCCTAAACAAAAGTAAGCATAGAGTGTATCAGAGAAAGCTGAGAGTGTATCAGTATATTAGATCCGTGCATGAGGTCTTAGAGACAGCAGCCTAAATAAACCTGCTGCTGCCTTTCATTATACAGTGAAAGGCTATCCAGTGTTATTTTACAGTTGAGTATAGATTATAGTTAGACCTAACTGAAAACATTTCTTGTTATTATTATTTTTTTGTGCTATTGATTGTCATTAATTTATTTGTTCTTATTTTATTATTTACTATTGACTTGTCTTTTTTGTTAAAATAAGCCCATGTCCACATGTACACGTGTATTTTTATAAACTGAGTTTTTCCTTCTTCCGTTTAAAAAAAAAATCTCCGTCCACATGAAAACGCAAATGCATGGTCCATGAGAAATAGTCCTGCCACCACAGCTGGAAAAAATCCTAGAAGAAGCACTGCGTACATTTAATAAAATTAGAAAAATGCATTTACAAAGGTAAAAAGAAAATGCCCCTGAAATCACTTTGAGTCAAATGTCAGCTCGTATTATGAAGGCTAATTTTTGATCAGAATTTTTTATTATTGATCAGAAGGTGCTCCTAAATTATTTAATTAGGAGGACAAGCGCTCGTAACTACAAGAAGAAAAACACTGCTCTTAAACTGGGTGTGTGACAGGTATGGCTGTGGAATGGGGTTTGGCTGAGGAAATATTTTCAGTCAAAATATATATTTTTTACATTAACCCCATAATTTTCGCACATCAGGGAGCCGATATCAATATGCGGGGTATTGAAATCGCATTTGAATAAGCGCTTGCTGTTCAATTTCACTTTCGATATAGCGAAATAGCGGCACTCTGTGTAAAGGGAGCACATCTTACAGTGCATGCATAATTATTATGGACGTTGATATTCTGATCAAATTTTTTTCCAAGCACATTTTACCAATTCCAAACCACATCAATCTTAATAACTACTATTATTTTTGTAGTTAATCATTTAGAAGTGATATATAATTGTCCATGAAGGCTGGAAATGAAAAACTCCTTATTAAGGTGTGCAGAATTATTAGGCAGGTTTTCTACGGATGGAATGAGCCAAAAAAAAGAGATTTAACTCAGACTGAGAAGTCAAAAATGATTAAATCCCCATGAGAAATATTAAAAACTAATGCAATACAGAAATGTCGGTAACACTTTACAATAAGGTTCATTAGTTAACATTAGTTAACTACTTTAGTTAACATGAACTAAGCATGAACAATACTTCTACAGCATTTATTAATCTTAGTTAATGTTAATTTCAACATTTACTACTGCATTATTAAAATCAAAAGTTGCGCTTGTTAACATTAGTTAATGCGCTGTGAATTAACATGAACTAACTATGAACAACTGTATTTTCATGAACTAACATTAACAAAGATTAATAAATACTGTAATAAATGCATTGTTCATTGTTTGTTCATGTTAGTTAATACATTAACTAACATTGACATTTCGGTAACACTTTACAATAAGGTTCCATTAGTTAAAGTTAAGGCATGACCATTGGTCAGCAAAATGCTAACTGGGACAGCGGGGTCAGAAAAAAAAACAGGTGAAGAAGAAAAGACAAACGTTAACTGCAAAATTTAGTCATTTAGCATTTACTCTCCAGTGCCACCATTTTCCAGAACGGCAACCTTCCTGGAGTCTCCAGAATTACAAGGTGTCAGGTTCTCAGAGACTTTGCTTGGGTAAAAAAATCCTAAAAAATGACCCCTACTTAATAATAATAACATGCTGAAGTGTTGTGAAATGCATGAAGACTATTTTTATAGGCTTTATGGACAGATAAGTTGAGAGTGACTCTTGAAGGACCAGCACCACATCCTCTTGTACCACTGTTTGAAGAATTGATCTTCCAGAATCTGGCAGTAAGTTTTAGGAGCTCATTTTTGTCAGTCTCTGCAAGACAGACTTTTCAGGATAGGAGATAGACTAAAAATGCACTCTCAAAACTTATTGCAACATGGAGCTAAGGAGAAAATGTAGAACTTTAAAAATTGGAAAAACAGCTTAGTGAAAAGCATTTACAGTTTAAAAGCAAATAGAAAGTCCTATTTTTTATTTCTTTTCTTAATATTTTTTTGCAGATTTGCACATGTACAAGGTTTAAAATGTTTGTGAAATAATTTTTTTAAATATTGACGTTTTGAGCAGCTGCATGTTTGAACAGCTGCATTCCTGTAGGTCAAAGATGAAACAATGGGATTTACAATAAAAAGTAATTTACTAAATTATTTTGACTTGAGTTTATTTATTAATGAGTAACGTCTCTTTTGAGTGAATGTGCAAACTTTTTTGTTATCAGGTTTTACCATGTTATTACAAAATTTAACCACTTTTTATTAATTTAAAAATTGAGAAATTCTTTCAAAATTAAATATTGTACATGAACTACAGCAAAAACCAGTTTGATGCATATTTTATCAATATTTTAAGAATTTGATTTGAATATTACCAGTGCTGACTTCAATGGATTTCATTAAATTCCTTTGAACACAACTGCTCAAAACGGTCTAAATTGATAAAACCTACACATTCAAAACATTATTACTCTGACATTTTTAATGTAAATGTTAAGTGTAAGTGGTGAAATGTTAAGTAATAAGGTCTTTCATGACACTACATATGCTGGGGTGTGAATTGGATAGGTGCTTGATACAAAATAAATGGTTCTTTGAAAAGTCCTTGAAAGTCCTTGAATCTGGTGTTCATGAAAGAGTGGGAACCCTGTCCCTCATTTTAGACCATTTGTAAAATGTCTTCCCTCATTTCAGTTAAGTCATTGCCATCACAGTTTAATCAAATTAAGACAAGGGATGGTGCAATGTACTTAAATTTGTGTTTAATTACATATTTACATTTAATGAATACATAAAAAAATGAAACAACCATGTAATTTAATTAATGCACATTTTTATATTGGTTTAATAGAAAATTATTGTTTTTCTGTTTTCTTTTTATGACGAGAGTAAACATTATGTATAGTAATTTATAGTAAGTATAAACTAAATTAAACATTGACTAACAAAATGTTTAGTTGTTTTGTGAAAAGTTGTAAAAGCCAAAAAATTGACCTGCATTAAATAACATATTGGCTTATGTCTAAAGAAAATATATTAAGTATGGCATATGGTCTTTATGATTAATACTATTTATAGTTTATATAAATGTTTTTGTTTTTGGCAACAATATATTTTGCTATTATATAAAAATAATACAGGTTTGAAGCAAACCATAACTATAATTTGAGAAAAACTAATACATTTGAATGTGTAAGGGCTGCCACCTGACATACAAAATCTCCTGTTAATTTTTACTTCGTGTCCTTGCAGTTTTTTTTTTTTTTTTCATTTTTAAATAGCAATTCCTTTAGATATTACAAGTAAAATTACTGTTAAAAATTGTAACTAAACAGTAATCATCCATGTATTCTTCTTTGCTTCTCAGGGCAGAAAGGGCCGTGGCTCCATCTTTGTGTGGGCATCAGGAAATGGTGGGCAGAGTCAAGACCACTGTTCATGTGACGGTTACACCAACAGCATTTACACCATCTCAGTAGGCAGCACCACTCAGATCGGCCGAAAGCCGTGGTACCTGGAGGAGTGCTCCTCTACTCTGGCCACAACTTACAGCAGTGGAGACAGTCACAGCTTAGGCGTTGTGAGTCACTCAGTGTGTATTTGTTTGATTCTTTGTCAGAAATTGTTGGTTTTTCCTCACTGGCTCCATACATTTGTGTGTTTTCAGGTTACAACAGATTTGAGGCAGAGTTGCACTGATGAGCACTCCGGCACTTCAGCATCGGCCCCCATGGCTGCAGGAATCATCGCCCTCACACTGGAGGCAAAGTAAGCGGTTGTGGTTTATTTGTGCTCTTTCTGTTACAGTGGGTACGGAAAGTATTCAGACCCCCTTAAATTTTTCACTCTTTGTTATATTGCAGCCATTTGCTAAAATCATTTAAGTTAATTTTTTTTCCTCATTAATGTACACACAGCACCCCATATTGACAGAAAAACACAGAATTGTTGACATTTATGCAGATTTATTAAAAAAGAAAATCTGAAATATCACATGGTCCTAAGTATTCAGACCCTTTGCTGTGACAATCATATATTTAACTCAGGTGCTGTCCATTTCTTCTGATCATCCTTGAGAAGGTTCTACACCTTCATTTGAGTCCAGCTGTATTTGATTATACTGATTGGACTTGATTAGGAAAGCCATCATCTATCTGTTAGATCTGGCAAGTGCTTTGTGGTCAAATCACATCTGGTGATCTGGTGAGCCTGAAGTTCTGCCAACTGGCAAGAGTGAAAGACTTATCTTGGATCACCTCATTACAAAACTTTGACTATCCAGTGGTGGATGAAGGTTTCTTGCGTGTTCAGTCTTTTCAGCACGCAGAGTTATTCAATTTAGGTTTAATTCAAATCTGACTCCATTTTGTTATCTAATCTGACTCCATTTTAGTATGACCTCGAATTTAGGTTGAAAGGCAAATTGGTTGTTTGTCGGTCTCTAATTATTCTGACATTCGATTATTCTAGTTAACTCTTTACTTTATATTTACTCGTTCATTAGGAATCTATGTCACTCAGGGTGCCACGCTATGCGTGGGCCCCACGATCACAAAGTCACCAGTTTGATCCTTAGTCAGAGGTTTGTGGCTAATACTATTTAATATGCTTTAAATAGTAGGTCTGTTTAGCCCCCTACAGTTACCCATGTAATGCTCAAACATTAATCAGCGGTTCTGCTAGACCCTCTGTCTAGCCCCCGATAGTTTATATAACTCCATACAACTTAATTAACGCTGAAATCATATACATGGTTAACGTAACTGAGTACAACTTAAACTAAGATCAAGCGGTTAGTCAGAAACCCATAACCTCGCCTGATGTGCCCATGCTCCATCTAACCTGAGATTTAGTATGCACTTAACCCTGGACGCAGCTTTGCGGAAACATAAGCCTTCACATAATCTATTTGAGAAAATAACTTCAGAGTAATCAGAATGAATTCAAACATAACAATTTATTATCAGTCAGGTAAATATGTATTATGCCAATTATCTAATCAATTATCAAATCATTACAAGACATCAAATTCTCAAAGATAAATCTAAGAGCAAAGGACGCACACCTGACTTCAGCAAAATACATAGTACAGAGTATGTGGAGACACTCCATACTACGGGCTCTCTGACTACAGAATCGCCCCGACCCTTTTGCTGGAATCCTTTAAATACAAAACCAAGATAAAACATCCCCCAAGTGGAGGCATGTACAAACAATTGGAATTTCCATTAACCCAGGTCCCAGACCTGGGTGGTTTGCACCTCAGTGGGAACAGAAGGTCATTTGCATGGAACATCCATCTACAGTAATCAAAGTATCTCTTAACTCTTAGGATCTGTATCATCTTTTAGTCTACTTTTGTAAGATTAAGACCATTGTACCACTCGCCCTAAGACTATTCAAATGACACCAAACATGACTGTAAATCTTATTTGCATTCATATAGAACATTATATTCTACCATTGACCATTCTGAGTGAGCTGGGGGAAGAGAAGGATGGGTGCGGGGAAGGAAGGGGATGAGGAGGAACCAATGCATATGTGAGAGACGTTTTCCCGCAGTTTCTCTCAGTGAGATGCGGAAACAGATGTCTGTATGTTAATGCACTGTGTGTGTATTGTCTGTCTCAGAAGATCAAAGTATCTGAGTTTCTTTTATCCTTACATTTGCTCATGAGATCTAAGCTTCACATACAGGTCTTATTGAGCCAATCATGCTGTAGGATAAAATATTTACTGCCATCCTTGTTGAGCATTTGATGAATAAACTCATCTCTTTGTTTTTTCATGCTCAGTCCAGCTCTGACCTGGAGAGACGTTCAGCACATTGTGGTGAAAACTTCACGCCCTGGTCACCTGAATACTTCAGACTGGCAGAGCAATGGAGCTGGTCATGATGGTAAAATTAGCCTGGAAATGTCACTTATGATATATTATTCAGGATGTATTTAATTTAGATTAAAAACTAATCATAGTAAAAAAAAAAATAAAAAAAAAGCACGACAGCACAATGTCCTTCGAGAAAAAAATCTTAGAATACAATTCAATATCACATCATCATCAAGATTACACACCTGATCTAATTTATAAATCTTGACTACTGTACTACTTCTAAAACATATTAACCATCATTCTTCTAATATATTTATAGGGAAATCAATAGGGAATATACTGTATATATATATATATATATATATATATATATATATATATATATATCCTGTGTTGCTTGATTAGTTCATTAGTTTCCACCTGTGTTCATTAATCATCTTATTATTCCATCGTTTGGTTTAGTATTTATAGCCCTGCCTTTCCTCAGTTTCTTTGTCCTGTCTCCGTCGTGTTAAGTGGTTGTTTTCACCTGTTCTCCCATGAAGATTTATTAAAGAATCTGTTCGTTTGATTGTCTGCCTCCTTTGTACTCCTTCAAGCTCCTTTAACCAGCAACCCGTGACATAAACACAAAATATTAAATATAATTTTAGAACAGGATGGTGTAGTTACAGCATACATTTGGTAGTACATACATTTATGCAATCAATAATTATTGAACATGCAATTGCATGTGAAGTAAAGCTTGCAATCACTGGCAGTATGTAATAAACTGTTTGATCATTGGCTGTTGTGCAGTTAGTCACCTTTATGGATTTGGTTTGATGGATGCTGAAGCCATGGTGAAGGAAGCAGAGACCTGGAAGCAGGTGCCTCCTCAACACGTGTGTGAGGAAAACACAGTCCAGACTACCAGGTAACTGTTTGCTTATAAACTTTATGCTTTTTAGCACTTATTATTTCAAGTACCATGGTGGTACCATGGTTTAGTCACATACAGTATACTATGGTATTTAATTACCATATTCTTATACCATTGTATTTACATGGTCCTCCAAAATATGTCAGAGAATATCATAGTAATGCCATGGTACTTTTGTCTGCATGTATCTCAGGATCATCAGTGCAGAGAGGGTGCTGAGGTCAGTGTTTAAGTCCTCAGGCTGCTCTTCTCAGCGTCTGCAGCGGGTGGTTTATCTGGAGCATGTGGTTGTACGTGTCACAATCACACATCCTCACCGTGGAGACCTGTCAATCACACTGACATCACCTGCTGGAACCAGATCTCAGCTTCTCTCAAACAGGTACAAATATACTGAGCCAGTTCTGATGGGTTGGAATTAAAATAATAACTGTATTAATTGAAATACAGTACATGATTCACCCTTCAAAGCCTACTATATCATATTTGATTAAATGTATGAGGCCTCTAAATTATTATTTGTTTAGCAGGTAAAAGGCCTGTTTAGTAGAATTTAAAAAAGGTCCACCTTCAGCTCATGGTTAACATGACTTTTTACGGTGACATTTTTTATGGATTTTTATAAAGTAAATGTAAGAATAAATGTCGTATTGCTGGTAATATTTCAAGATGAACACTTACTGGACTGAAGCAACTTAGGTTTACCTGATTGTAAATACATAATGTTTTAGAAAAATCTTGTTAAAATGAGTATCAAATATGATAGATCAGGCTTTTGATGAATGTTTATTTGTACATCTCTCAATCATAAAATCTAAACATAATAAAAACTACAGTGCCATAGACATACAGTAGTATTGGGAGACATAGAGTGACAACTAATATTTATAGTATGCACATTTAGTCTGTTATCCTGTTGTAAAGGTTTCATTGATTTACATTACAAGCTATCAGAATTTCATCTTACTTGGCCATATAAATATCAGAAATTTCACCAAATGCACATTTTTCCCACTAATTCTTTGGGATTACCTTGCTTCAATTATTCTGGTGCTATTTCCTTTCAGACCGAATGACCACTCCAATGAGGGTTTCCTTAAGTGGGAATTCATGACGACTCACTGCTGGGGTGAAAGACCAGCAGGAGACTGGATCCTGGACATCAGGGACTCGCCATCTCCACGAAGAAACAGCCGATTAGGTGCCCACACTCTGAACAAAAATGGTGCTACATAGCATTAAAAGTGGTTTGTTGGCTTGAAAATAATCAAAGGGGAACCACTTTAAAATTATGTCATTAATTACTCACCCTTGTGTTGTTCGAAACCCGTAAGACATAGACATAAGTTCATCTTCGGAACACAATTTAAGATATTTTTGATGAAATATGAGGGCTCTCTAACCCTCCCATAGACAGCAAGGTAACTACCACGTTCAAGGTCCAGAAAAGTACCAAGATGATTGACAAAGTAGTCCGTGTGACATCAGTGGTTCAACTGTAAAGTTACGAAGCTATGAGAATACTTTTTTGCGCAAAGAAAACAAAAATAATGACTTTATTCCACATTTTCGTCTCTACTGCATCACTTGTGGACGCGTGTTCACGACAGTATCATGAGTATCATCAAAAATATTTTAAAGGGGTCATATGATGTTGCTAAAAATAACATTATTTTGTGTATTTGGTGTAATGAAATGTGTTTATGCGGTTTAAGGTTAAAAAAACACATTGTTTTCCACATACTGTACATTATTGTTTCTCCTCTATGCCCCGCCTTTCTGAAACGCGTCGATTTTTACAAAGCTCATCGGTCTGAAAAGCTAGGTGTGCTCTGATTTGCCAGCTATCCAGTGCGTTGTGATTGGCCGAATACCTCAAGTGTGTGACGGAAATGTTACGTCCCTTGCCATATTGTGATGCCTTGTCCCGGCTGGAGCGACGAGACAAAAACATTAAAACCCATTATAAACGAGGCATTTGTTGCATCCAATGGGGACATAATTACTATACTGTCATTTTACGCATTGCATTGCATCGCGCCGTGTAAACATAAAACCATATTTGCATTTGTGATCGGAGAAATTACAAACTACAAACGCTACTCTACACTGCTCAAAACTGGCGTTTGAATCGTCAGTGGCAAATTCTTTAAATATAAAAAACTTACTTTCAATCTGTGAATCAGAATTTTAGGTAGGCGTGGTTGACTCTTAACTTGTATAAAGAATATCTCTTTGGATTTGAGACTTTAGTCTTTGCAACTTTACAGATCTTCTTTATGCACCAAGAGCTTGTAACACTCCAAAGAGAAAGGAAAAATTGAAATCTCATCATATGACCCCTTTTAAATTGTGTTCCGAATTTATGGGTTTTACGGGTCTTACGGGTTTGGAACAGCATGAGGGTGAGTAATTAATGACAGAATTTTCATTTTTGGGTGAACTAACCCTTTAAGTGCTATATTGCACCTATCTTTAAAGGTGCTATACAGGACCTTTATCAAATGGTGCTATGTAGAACCAGAAGAGGAACCCTATTCTACTCCATTGATTTTAGGCAAGAATGTTGAGAACAACGTTATCTTCAGGAAATACACTCTATTTTAACCAGGTGCTTAATGGGTTTTTTGTATGGAAGTGGTGCTATATAGCCCCTCAACCCCCCCAAAGAACCGCTGAAGAACCTTTTTTTTTTTTTGTGCATGCACCACCTAGTACTAACTCTATAGTACTATGATATACATGACTACCATATCCATGTAATACCATTTAATTGGTACTCCAACTTCAAGATACTTCAAAGTATTCAAAGTATATTGTGTTAACATCCATGGTATATGTACAAAAAGTCAAGTGCACCTGCCATAGAATATACAGTAAAATGTTTTTCCTTCTTTGTTGTTTACATTAGGGAAACTGGTAGAATGCTCCCTGGTGCTTTATGGAACATCCACACATCCATACATTCGACATGAGCAGCCCCGCTCTGCCCAGCTGCTGCCTGAAGATGACACCACAGAGGAGTACAATGGTGATTTACCTTTATAAGCCAAACAAATGTACATAATATAATTTAAATAAAAAACAAATTATTATAATATCTAGTGGATACTTAATGCATGGTATGCAAAGGCCATTTAAGTCATATTTCAAAGACTTTTTACTAACTGGGTCACAGTGATGGTTGGATTTTTAATGGATGCAAGTCAGTACTCTTGTTTTGTATGAAAAGTGTTCTTGTGCTATTTTTCTGTAAAATAAATGTCACTTGGTTAAATATATTATTTTCTAATGCAATGACATTTAGCCCATATATTTTTAAGTGGGCTATAACTTCCCACCCTTCGATTATCATTATCAAAGTGTATGTAAAGTAATTATACAAATATGCTAAAAGTGTGCTTCTTTTGTCACAAGGGCACTTCTTGGGGCTATTGTAAATATATAATTCTGTTGAATATGGGGATACCTTTTCATTTTCCCTCTCCTCGATATAAGGCTCTTGTGACCCAGAATGTAGTGAGGATGGTTGTGAAGGACCTGGACCCCATCAATGTGTTTCCTGCATGCACTTTTTCCTAAAGTTAAAAAATAACACAAGGTAAGAAAATTTTACTTCTGTACTTTTTTCTCCCTGTCTCACTGTCTCTCTCTCTCCTTCACAAGGTTTTTGATAATACTGCACAACTCATTTTTCAGGACCTGTGTGTCCGAGTGTCCAAGCGGGTACTGGGGGGATAAGAAAAGGTGTAAAAAGTGTTACTCCTCCTGCAAGTCATGTTTGGGCAGCCGCAGTGATCAGTGCACAGCCTGTAAATCTGGATATCATCTGAATGAGGAAAAGAACAACTGTGTGACCAACTGTGAGGATGGCTACTATCTTTACCACGGTAAGAGTGATGCCACCAAAACTAGCCAGTTACTTGTTTACTCAAAGGAAATACTTCTAAAAATAAAGGCTCTTTATTGTCATCTGTGGTTCCAAGACAAACATTTAATGTCCTTGAATCCTTTCCACTGCACAAAATGTTCTTTTTTTAGTTTATAGCCAATAGATTTGAAACCCCAACCACAACATCGCAATTGGTCCAAAGTACATAGCTGTATTTTAAACTTCACTTTCAGTGTTGACATACCTTTGACAAATTTTTTGTTATTAATGTTTTTGCCATGCAGAGGAAAACGTGTGTAGGAAGTGTAATAATGAGAACTGTATGAAATGCACCTCAGCCTCCATTTGCACGGAGTGCTCTGATGGCACAAGGTAATAGATTTTAATAAAATATTTGAATTTCATGACAAAATGTAGCCAAGTCTTTTCATTGTAATGAAAGATGACTGTCTCTTTCAGTCTGGTGGGGAACAGATGTCAGAAGAGTTGTGAGGTGGGCCGTTACTACAGTGAGCCAGAGGACTCATGTGAGCCCTGCCACCCAGCCTGTGCTACATGTGCTGGTACAATCCACAAAAATACAATACACTAACAATGACATCCCACCAAATGTATTCAGATCAACATGCCTGAGTCCAACCCTAGAACAGTGGTTCTCAACCTTTTTGGCTCTAAGGGGGGCCACATTCTCCACAAAAATAGACTATATATACTCCATAGGCTTCATAGACTTTTTGTTTTCAAAACTTATTTTAATATATTATTTAAATCTACTTCTAGTTTAAGTATATAAATAAATAAAATGTAAATATTTACATTCCAAGATTCCAGAAGTTTTGGAGGTTTTATATTCTTTAGGGTTCCCACTCTTTTTAAATAATTAATTTACATGTCTTTTCCTGTTGTTTGTGATTTAATGGATAAGGAAATATACTGTATATATTTTTTAAGACTTTACTTAATCAATGACATCCCACCAAATGTATTCAGATCAACATGCCTGAGTCCAACCCTAGAACAGTGGTTCTCAACCTTTTTGGCTCTAAGGGGGGCCACATTCTCCACAAAAATAGACTACATATACTCCATAGGCTTCATAGACTTTTTGTTTTCAAAACTTATTTTAATATATTATTTAAATCTACTTCTAGTTTAAGTATATAAATAAATAAAATGTAAATATTTACATTCCAAGATTCCAGAAGTTTTGGAGGTTTTATATTCTTTAGGGTTCCCACTCTTTTTAAATAATTAATTTACATGTCTTTTCCTGTTGTTTGTGATTTAATGGATAAGGAAATATACTGTATATATTTTTTAAGACTTTACTTAAATGACTTTTCCAGGTCTACAAACCATACTTTTAAAATTAGGCTTCTGTTACGGGGCGAACGACGAGAGACGTGTGGATCCATCTGCAAAGCTTTATTCTTAAACAGTCAAAACAGACTTGGGTCAGACACCAGCAAACAAATATAGACAAAGCATGACGAAAGAGTAATCCATATACAGGCATGGGTCAAACAATGGCAAACGTAATCCAGAGAGCGAAGTAAAGGTAATCCAAAAACATGCAAAAATCCAGGCAAGGGGCAAACAGAGTCCAAACGACAAAACAAGAGAAAAATCCAAGACAGGCAAAGTGATCAAGAAACATGCAATCAGGCAACACGACGTGGCTAGACTCAGACTAGAACTGGGAACATGAAACTAGAACCGGGGAACAGGCTCCGTAAAGTTGCTAATGCAAGACAGCGATACACGCAAACAATACTCTGCGATCTAAACAGGATCTGAGTGGGTGCTATATAGTGTGTGTGATTGGTTTCAGGTGAGCTTGTGATTAGCGCAATGGAGCATGGGAAATGTAGTCCAGGGTGACGTGTAACAGTTTGTGTAGTGTGAGAGTCAATGTAATCGGAAGGCGACCTCTGGTGGTGAGCAGACAGAAGACCACGGACAGGATTCATGACAGCTTCCTCATTTAATATATCTAGGTTTTCCAAGACAGCAGGAACCCTGGTCCTTCAAAGGAAATAAACCATTGTTTTAGCTTATTCTAACACTTGTTTTGCCTCATTTTAAATAGATTTTAACTCATCCTGCAGGCCCCTTAAAAGTTTGCTGAAACTCCTTAGTGGGTCCCAGCCTCCAGGTTGAGAACCACTGTCCCTAGGATTGTAGACGGATTCCTAACTCAAATCATCATGTTAAACCAGTCATAAAGGATCCTAATAGTAATTTCATTAAAGATTTCAATAAAATAAAATAAAATAAATAAAAAATGCCCAAAATACTTTATGATTATCAATAGCATACCCTTATGATTAGATTTTTAGCAAGAGATCATTGACCCCTGGAAATACATAAATCATATATACTTAATTTTCTTTAAAAATGTTCATGATACTTTTAATTATTTAAATGAACATTAAGTAATGATAAGTAGTACATGGTGTGATGATGTTAATATCTAATGTCTAAATGCTGGAAACCCTGTGCTTGTTATAATGTATCAAATAGATAAAGATTAGGATCATGATTTTTTTGGTTCTACTACAGCACACCTTAAGTATATATTAGCACTGTTTGTTGTTTTATTCTGAGATCCGATAAAGCATTTGGGCCTAGAAACATCGATTACTGTCAGACTTCAAAATCCTTCTTCACTTGAATTAAGATTTTAATAATTTTTATTTTTTTTAAACCACAGCCACCACCAAAAAATAAGACTTTAGCACTTCGTTTACTTTGAGATCATTCTGAGGTTAAATACTGCTTTAAAATCATAAGATATAATTTAATAGCTATGATACTGTTTTTGAATAGCTATGACAGGAAACACTGGCATCTAACAATGCCTTTGAAAAAACAGTTAATTTAAAAAATAAACCCAATAATAAACCCAAAAAGGAAATAAAAAGTTATCAAATAAGCTTGTGTCCCATATTCAAATATGTCGCATATTTTACAGAAGTCAATGTAGTTTTGTAAGGAAATCAGTCAAATCTGTATGTGTGTGAATATATTCAGATGTAACTCCCTTTGTAATCATTTGTAAACATTTTCATGAGTAACTGTAATTTAATTACAGATTTTTTTCTCAGTAACTGTAACAGATTACAGTTACATTTATTTTGTAATTAAATTACGTAATTACGTTATATGTAACTAGTTACTCCCCAACACTGTGTACCAACTATATACTTTATTTTATTTATTTATGACTATCAAACAAGTAATTCTAGTGTATAATATACATATGATCATTAAGATTTGGTTCAGAATTGTGATCAAATTCCAGTAGGAATCCTGTACAGGATCTTGTGACTATGACATTTTGTGCCTTTAGCTGAGTTTGCATTTGTGTAGATGTGATAGGATCATGTCTTTTCTACAGCTGCAGGTCTAGAGTCATGTAATCGCTGTGCTGAAGGCTACTTGATGGAGAACTGGAGATGTGTGTCCTCCTGCAGTCAAGGTTTCTACGCTGTACAACCGAACTCTGACAGCACAGACACTCAGAGCACCTGTAAAAGGTGTGTGCTACAACCTCTCATCCTTTCAGCATTTATCATAATTTCCTACCTGTATTTTGATTCTTAAGTGTGTGTATATATGTGCAGGTGTGATGCGAGCTGTCTGGCTTGTGTGGGGCCAAGTAAAGAAAACTGCAGTGAGTGTGTAGATGGACACACACTACTGGACGGTGTGTGTGTTCTCAGCCACAACTGTGTTGATGGTAAGTTCTGTTTTTTCCAACCGGAAAATGTAACCAGTTGATATAAAGTAGAGTTGTTGTAACATTTCATGGTAACTCTTTATTTTAAGGTGTCCTTGTTACAGTGTAATTATACATCTAAGTACTGAGTAATATTAATTAACTACATGTACTTACTATATGGTTGGGGTTAAGATTAGGGTGTGGCTTAGGGTTACTTGCATGTAATTATGCATAATGTATTGTTGTTATAATAGTAATTACATGTAACATGTGTAACAAGGACACCTTAAATATATAATTGTAACCGATTTATGTTTGTGTTTAAAGGGGAATATCAGGATGAGAGTGGAGAGTGTCAACCATGTGATGAGTCCTGTCATAAATGTAAAGGTCCAACGATTGTGGACTGTCTCAGCTGCTCCAACACACAGTAAGAAACAATTTCGACAATTACTTATTATATTATGCAGCATTTTTGATAATCAATATATTATATAATAATTGAGTATTGAGTACCAATAATAATTAATAACAATTGAGCACCAAATCAGCATATTCAAATGATTTCTGAAGGATCACGTGACACTGGAGTAATGCTGAAAAATTCAGTTTTGCCATCACAGGAATAAATTATATTTTATAATATAGCAAAATATAAAACATTTTTTTAAACGGCAATAATATTTTTTCACTAATGAACAACTATAGTACTGTGTTTTTGATCAAATAAAGAGACTACTTTCAAAAACAGAAAAAGTTCTTAATTATTGTAATTTTAATTTTGCTTAATTATTTCATTGTATTTTATTGTACAGTTATTTGCCACTAATATGCATTTCCTCTGTCTGGCTCTTGTAGTTGGCTGGATGAGGGCCGATGTGTGGTCAGCTGCTCAAATGGGAAGTACCCATCCAGTGGACAGTGTCACCTCTGTGATCACACTTGTGCTCAGTGCGTTGATGCTGGTCCTGCTAACTGTACCAGCTGTGATACAGGTCAGGATTAATTTCTCATCACAGTCAAAAGGGCTGCTGTCCCAATAACTCAACTAAATTAGCATGTGCCACAATCCTGTTAATATAACTCCATCCAGTGTCCAGAATGAAAACTTGGCAAGCACCAAATGTGAGTAAAATGGACTTCATAATACAGTAGTCTTACATTTGCTGTTTAGTGGCAAGCAAATTAAACCAAAAAGATGCAAATAGTTTATTTAAAAATTACAATCCAATCCAATGTTACTGTCTCACATCTAATAGCAATAGCAAATATGACCTTAGCTTGTATTTTAATTTACCTTTGGCTTGAAATATTATTTTTTATTTATTTATTAATTTTTTTCCCACAATTTCATTCCTGGCTCCAAGCCACCAAAATGAAAATACGAGTAACAACATCATGATGGTCCCACCATCTAACAGTATGTGTCCCTGTGTGTATGTTATGGTAATTTTGGGTGTATCATGCGTTTTGTTTGTGTGTGCTGTAGACAAGTTTGGGGTGGACCGGTACCTCTACCGTGGCGAGTGCGTGGAAGTGTGTCCTCAGGCTCATTTCCACACAGCGCTGAAAGCATGTGAGCCGTGTCCTTCACACTGCAAACTCTGTTCTTCAGCCACACACTGCATCAGGTGTGAGGACTCCTTCTACATCAACGACGGAGTCTGTAATAAACTGGAGTGTGGTGAAGGTCTGAATTGATCTTCCTGTGCAGTTCAAGTGTCACTTGTTTTGTTGCTTGTTTCAAAAAGAGATATTTAGCACAATGTCTGTTATTAATGATGTTGGGCTTTGTGATTATTTTGCACTTCCAGGACAAACATCAATGTATGTAACTAATTTGTGTGTGTGTGTGTTAGGGGAGGTAGAAGACCCAGAATATGATGACTGCATGTCATGTGAAGAGGGATGTAATAAGTGTGTTCTTTGTAAGTTCAGCGTTCTATATGTTCTGTGTTTTATCAAGGCAAATTATACTATTACTATTGCTCATACATGGGGTTAGTTTTGTATTGGAGCACATGGCTGATGTTTGTGTTTGTTTGCCATGTGCTCTTCGGACTTTCATCTAAATGTGACCCTGGAACACAAAACCAGTCTGAATCTGAAAGCTGAATAAATAAGCTTTCCATTGATGTATGGTTTGTTAGGATAGGACAATTATTATCCAATAAATATTTGGCCGAGGTACAACTATTTGAAAATCTGGAATCTGAAGGTGCAAAAAAAAAAATCAAAATATTGAGAAAATCGTCTTTAAAGTTGTCCAAATGAAGTTCTTAGCAATGCATATTACTAATCAAAAATTAAGTTGTAATATATTTACAGTAGGAAATTTACTAAATATCTTCATGGAACATGATCTTTACTTAATATCCTAATGATTTTTGGCATAAAAGAAAAATCAATCATTTTGACCCATACAGTGTATTTTTGGCTATTGCTACAAATATACCCCAGCGACTTAAGACTGCTTTTGTGGTCCAGTGTCACAAATAAGTAGTTTTAGAATATCACTGATGAATGTGACAATATATTTTGACTTCACATTCCACCATGAACTGTATTGAGTTGACCAGACAGTTATTTCTACATAATTTACAGTTCCTTCACTTTGCAGATAATCCCAAACACTGCCTGTCCTGCATTGCTGGATATTACAAGTAAGGAACATTTAAATGATGTAACAGAACTATCTGCTGGAACGTATGTGCGAAAGACAGAATAAACATTTCAGAAAGTTAATTTACAGATGTGTGCCACACTGAGAAGTGACCGAAATGCTCTTTCTGCACAGGTTTGAAGAGGGGTGCTATAAGCACTGTCCTGCTAAGACATACACAGTGGAGGAGACCATGAGCTGTGTGTCCTGTGAACATGATTGTGTCAGCTGTGATGAAGATGAGTGCTACTGGTGTGAATCTGACCTCTTCCTGTCAGGTTGGACATTAACACCTAAATTGATGCATTCTGTAGATGCTTTTTATACAAATGACTTGCATAGCATTCATGAAAGGCTATATATTTTTTATCAGTTCATGCACTCCCGGGGAAATCCATGGCATTGGCGTTGCTAGAGCCAGTATAGTGGTTTTCAACCTTCTTTTGACACAATTGGACAAGATTTTTCATGTGTTTGTTATACTGTACCCTGCAGATGGGAAGTGTGTGCGGGAATGTCCCGATGGCTTCTATAGTGATGAAGATTCTCAGGAGTGTGAGGAATGTCACTCAGACTGCAGGAAATGCAGTGGGCCGGAGGACAGTGACTGTGACAGCTGCAGCGATGGATTTACGCTTGAGAATGGAGCATGTGTGCCTGAACAGGATGTTTGCCCTGCCCAGACATACCTCACTGGTAAGAGCAACACTTCAGAGAGGAAAAATGTATTATTTAGAGATTGCTTGTTCGTAGCTCTGGAGATGTTAACTTTGTCTCATGGCATAGTCCAGATAAATTGGTCTTGGAAGAATTCGATTTTACATGACTTCATATTAAAATCAATCCATCGATCGATCCATTTTTCAAAACGGCTGGTTCTATGTAGGTTCACAATCATATTGATATCTTCCTTTTGAAATCTAATGTTTGATTGCAGACTTATATTTGAGCACAGTCTTAGGCTGATGATACATGGGGCAACTTTTTTTTAGCAATGTTGCCGTCAATGGGCGACCAGGTGAGACATAGGGCACAAGACCAATCTAAAATATCCAGATATAAATTTGTTACCCATTCTCAATGGAAAAGTGTCCAAGCAACAAAATTGCTGAAACTGTTGCCGTGTGTCATCAACCTTAGACATTGGACCTGCATTGCAGATGTCTTCAAAACTGCTCCTAGAGACCCACTCTCCCTGGAAAGTTTATTTCCAACCTGCTTTAACACACCTGCCTGCGATTTTCTGGAAAAAGTGATGCTGAAGACATTAATTAGTTGGTTAAGATGTGTTTGATTAGGTTTGGAGCTAAACCCTGCAGGACATTGCTTCAAGTTTACAGATTACCAAAGGCTTTTTCTCAGGAGAAAATTTGGAGAGCATTTGCAGTCATTTGCATGACTTCATTAATTTTAGGATACTGCTGAAAACAAAACAGAGTTTTTAACCACAGTGCTTCAGAATTAAATTCCACCATTACATAATGGGCTTTTTCAAGTGCTTCGCTTTGGAAAAGCCTTCTGACGATTTAGCAGGAAATATTTGTAATATCATATAAGAATGTTTTAGTTTGGCAACCTATGGCATATCAGTTATAATTAACTTATTAGAAATATAAAGTAAAATGACAATACAAAATGACTGCAATAAATATTGAACTGTCTGTATGGTAATTTATCTGTAGGTTCACTCTCAGAAGAAAATGTGCAAAAATTGTACCTTGCAACAGCTTGTCACTGGGGCAGTACTCTAGCATATTTTCCCCTAAAACATTTATAGTAGTACTCGTGCATATTACTACTCTAAGGTACTAATGTGCACCCTTTAGTTGTTAGATAAGAAACTTTAACGTTTATTTATTTATTGACTGTCATTTTACTTTATTGGTTCTTTAGATTATTGGAGTCTGTTGGTTCATTCATTAATAAAGTAAAAGTTATTTTAGGTTCTTTAATGAATAAGTTGCAATTTAGTATATTTTAAACATATTAACAATAAATGTATTATCAAATAACACAAGTACTTTACATGTACTTTAGTATGTTAGTCAACACATCAATAACATAGTGATCTAAAATGTACTTTAAAGTAATATTTTTAATTTGATATTATTACAAAGTACACAAAGTGTACTTTAGTGTGTTAAGAAGCATAGTCATGAAAGTGTTCTCTCTTCAAGTACACTTATGGCCTTAATGGGATAATATAGTATTTTTTGCAAGTACAATATTTTAAATATATAGTTTTAGTATATTTTTTATACTTTTGCTATAAAATAATTGTTGGATATAACTGCACCTGCTCTCATCTCTCAGATGATGGGGAGTGTGAGGACTGTCACTCGTCATGTGAATCCTGCTGGGGGGAAACGAAGACTCAATGCAACACTTGTGTCAAAGGTAATACAACTCAAAGAAGAATATGATGGATGGAAAAATCTTTGGTTGGTTGTATAAAGGGTTAGGTGAATGGATAAGTATACATTATTTATGTGTGTTTTAACCACTCTGTCTTCTAGGTCGATATCTGAATGCAGATCAGATGTGTGTGGTACGATGCCCGACGGGCGGCTTTGGCAGTAAGGAGAGCGGGCACTGTGAGACTTGCCCTCAAGGATGTGCCCAGTGCCAGGATGAGCAGCTCTGCACACGCTGCCAGTCAGCACGTAAAAACCCTCTTTATTTGCAGGCCGGCCAGTGTGTGCGCAAGTGCACAAGGTAAGCCATTTACAGACACTGATGTAGAGGAATGAAAAGCTAATCATATACTGTTTTTCCTCAGGTTCACTTTTTCAGGTTTCTCGCACCCGTTTAGTTCGCATGAACTCTCTAGTTTAAATGTTAGAGTTAAGCCAAATCATTTACATTAATTACAGTGTAACTACATTTTTATTAAGCAAATTTATGCAATATTGCTTATTTGCTTTTCATATTTGATACATCAGACTTTTAGGCCCAAAGGCCCAAACTGAGCAAAAATTTGGTGCAGTTGCTGATTCTTAAAAACCCGAAAGTAAGGAAATTCTATAGCTTGTAATGCAAATCAATGAAACTTCTTACATAAAATGCATAAATATCAGCTACTCTATATTTCCCAATAGTATGACTTAGTAAGATCATATTTAAATGCTTAATTTTATTATCAAAGCTGTGCGTTTTTATTGTGGAGGGCAAAACATATAATGCAATGCAATTGTGCCACAAGGGGGCGTTTTTTAAATTATTTATTTAAACAAATAAAACAGTTGTTTAAGGACTTTTACTTGCTAAAAAGCATAAACTATCAATTTATCAATCAGACGAAGACATCATCATTCATCTATCAATCAGATGATGTAGTACACCTCTTTATTTGCAGGCCGGCCAGTGTGTGCGCAAGTGCACAAGGTAAGCCATTTACAGACACTGATGTAGAGGAATGAAAAGCTAATCATATACTGTTTTTCCTCAGGTTCACTTTTTCAGGTTTCTCGCACCCGTTTAGTTCGCATGAACTCTCTAGTTTAAATGTTAGAGTTAAGCCAAATCATTTACATTAATTACAGTGTAACTACATTTTTATTAAGCAAATTTATGCAATATTGCTTATTTGCTTTTCATATTTGATACATCAGACTTTTAGGCCCAAAGGCCCAAACTGAGCAAAAATTTGGTGCAGTTGCTGATTCTTAAAAACCCGAAAGTAAGGAAATTCTATAGCTTGTAATGCAAATCAATGAAACTTCTTACATAAAATGCATAAATATCAGCTACTCTATATTTCCCAATAGTATGACTTAGTAAGATCATATTTAAATGCTTAATTTTATTATCAAAGCTGTGCGTTTTTATTGTGGAGGGCAAAACATATAATGCAATGCAATTGTGCCACAAGGGGGCGTTTTTTAAATTATTTATTTAAACAAATAAAACAGTTGTTTAAGGACTTTTACTTGCTAAAAAGCATAAACTATCAATTTATCAATCAGACGAAGACATCATCATTCATCTATCAATCAGATGATGTAGTACATACAACAGCCTTTTAACAAAGTTTTGATTATGTTGATAATATAGAGGATTTAGTCATTTGTGTAGCAAACTTAATAAAGTAGGCATTTTAGGGTTAAAAATAAAATGGCCCCCATAAAAATGTCCCAATCCCAGTATGGATTAAAAAAAAAAAAAAAAGTAAGTTCGAGTCTGTGCTATCTGTGTCCGATATTGTACGTCAACACATGTGTTACCTGTGCTCCTGTCTGCCCCGTGTATTCCCTTGGATTTTGGATTAAAAGACTATTGTGTTAATTTACGCCTTGTCTCCTCGTTCCTCGTTCCTCTCCGTAGGTGAATGTGACAGTAAGGCAGCTGTAGTAGTTATATTGTAAATTGATACTGTATTAAATTATGAGCATGTTTATGTGTTCAGAGGGTATCCTGTGGGTCAGGTGTGTAAGAGCTGTGCATCTGGTTGTACATCCTGTGAGAAGAATGCAACACACTGTCTGAACTGTGAGGAGACACTACTGCTCCACAAACATGAGTGTGTGGAGAGATGTCCGCCCGGACACACAGTGAGGAACGGGGAGTGTGTGCAGTGTCCAGAGAGCTGTGTTATCTGCTCTGAGGACGGACTCTGTACAGGTGAGACTGAAATTCCTCACAATTTTGCATGTTTTCATGAACTGTTCTTTTATGTTATGAAAATAACTAGTTACAAAGATATTTTATTGATGTTGCTACACTCTTCTACCTCTACAACAGCTGTCTTTGTCAAAATTACCCCTAAAGGTTGCATATTAATGCCTTAAAAGTCCATTTTATCACCTATTTTAAATAATACTGTACCATTTTTTTTCTGAGAATGTAGTGGCTTTCCTAGTAGCATTAATACGAACAGTGTTTCATACATTTTTTCATACATGTTGATAATGAAACTTTCCTCTAGGTCAAACAGTAAAGCATGGCGGGTCATGGGTTAAATTCCCAAGAAATGCCTGACTTGATCAAATGTATATTGACGTTGCTTAGGTCATTCTCCATAATTTTGTAATAAACGTGTGTGTTGAACACAAACACCTGTGCTGGTACAACTATACCTAATCTTTAGAAATCAAACTAAATGAAACCGTTGGAATCTCCAATTAAGTAAATATATAAATGTTTATTTATTCATAAACATAAACAAAATACATGCTGTTAATTCTGTTCATGCTGTTATTCAAGTAATTTAGAAGTTCTAACTTGGTCAATCTTAGCATTTTCGCATTCATTGTTAAATATATTACCTATTTAATTTTCTTCTGTTCATTTAACTTCAGAGTGTAAAGAAGACTTCTTCTTGCATGCGGGTCAGTGTATAGTGGCGTGTCCTGATGGGTTTTTTGAGGACACGGATCAAGGCATTTGCGAGCGTTGCCACGCCGATTGTGAGTTATGTGATGGGCCTGAACCAAACAACTGTGATTCCTGTTCCGACACTGACCGCACACTGCACAATGGAGCATGTCTAGCCCCCTGCCCTGCACATACTTACAAGGAAAGCAGGTCCGGAGAATGCATGGGTGAGACTACATGACGTTCCTTACTGTTACTATTAAAAGTGCACTAAGTCATTAAGAATTTTTCTTTATTACACCTAAAGAAATGAATAGCATTTCCAACAAATATATTTAAAATGATGAACACAAACATGAGAAGTTTTTTTTTCCATAAAGGTTGAGATTTGTTACATAGTACACAGCAGGTAAAATAAGTATTGAATGCGTCACCATTTTTTCTCATATCACTTTACATAAAGTTGGAAAGAATATGCATGCCTCTTTACAAAGAGTTGCGATAATACAGTTGACATTTTACAATGATTTAAACAAGATGATGTGAGTACACTGTATGTATATTGGTTAAGGTTGTACAGTATATCCTTATGGTAGTTGTATAATTTGCTATTCATTTTAGTAATTCATTCCGTATTTAGATTTGAGGTTTTGTTCAATTTATTTGGCATAGGGACAAGACTACTTACTTTTTGGTAATGACTGACACAATTACTGACACGGTTAGGTGATGCATATTAATGACAGGGTTAAAATGTTCATATCGTCACTAGATCACATAATGTTAATGAAAAGTCTTTTTTTTGTTCTGCTGGTGTTCTGCAGCCTGCGACAGTTCCTGTTTAACCTGTTCTGGTCCTCACGACACATCCTGCACCAGCTGCTCTGAGGGCCTGGCGATGGATGCCCACGGGCGCTGCGCTACACCCACCACATGTCCCTCACACCACTACAGCAACCAGGATGGAGAATGTCATTTGTGTCACAAGTATTGCCATGAGTGCTCTGGCCCACATCAATACCAGTGCCTCAGCTGCAACCAGAACCACTATCTACTCAGTGAGTTCATGCCATTGAGGCATGATACGCTCTTGATTCACAAGTGGAAGATGACTTGAGTGCAAAGAAAACAAAAACTAATTCATTTTCTAGATTTCCCAGGTCCTACGCTTATTCCAGTGATAGCTATTAAAAATAAAACTTTTACAAATGGAAGACCTTTTGGTACTTCACTATTGCACCAAAATCTTTCCATGAATTAGCAACAATATATGGGCCATAAATATTGTAAAGTGGTCAATACTTGTATTCAGCAAGGACACAGTATTTATAATTATTTATACTATGTTTATAATGCTCTTTTGAACTTTCTATTTATCAGAGAATAATAAAAATGAAAAAAAAGTATCACAGTTTCCACAAAAATATTAAGCAGCACATCTGTTTTCAACATTTAGTGTAATAATGTTCCACATTTATATGTATTTTTGATCAAATAAATGCAGTGAGCATAAGAGACTTCTAAATCTTACTGAACTTAAACTTTTGAACATAGGGTAATTGTTCAAGCGTAGTATTTATTAGTCTCTTATTGGCCTTTTATGCAAGCCCCCGATAAAACAAGCAAAATAAGCCCTTTGCACAAATTCCTGCAATGTTCTGACCTCGGAACACTTTTATCATGGTGCATAATTTGTAAACTAATACATTTCGTCATATGCATCACATAACAAGCTCCATATGTATGGCTTTGCTGATGTAGTAAACTTGCTCAGTAGCCCACCCGGTACCACACTCCAGTCCCTCGAGTCATGATAAAAGAGCTCAAAGGCTTGTAGAAGCAAGCTAAAATGGCATGGTTGTTACAGAAAGCATGTTTTCCCCTCACTTTTTTTAACTATCGGTTATGTTTATTGTAGGTAGTACGTTATTTTTAATCATGAGAACATAAACCTTTCAGCACCACTTGCAGGACATTGCATTTCTGAACTCTCGTGACATTGCCAGATTGATGCTTATAAGTTTAGAATAAAACTGAACATGCTTTTACTACCACTCACTGGACATTTCACTTTAAAGGTGTTGCAAAACTTGCAAAATGCATAGTAATATTTAGCAGAAAATGTGCATGTTTTATTTTTTTTCCAATGAGCCTGGCTTGGCTTTTTATTTGTGGGTGAACTAATAATAGTTGTCCTGTCTTTATTCTTTGTGCGAGGCTTTAGAATAAACTTTTATTTCTATTAAAGGTGAGTGTGTCCTCAGCACTAACTTTGCCTTCCGTAATCATGAAGAAGAGGAATATACAGGAAACCTGCCACTCTTCATCACCGCCTCCATCCTGCTTGTTTTGGCCTTGATTGCTGTAATCATCCTCATTAAGCGTTCTCTTTCCAAACGACCCATGCCTGAGCCTGCTGTCCCGCGTGGGTATGAAAAACTGGGCAACGGTGGCGGCAGAGACAGCTTCTACAGAGGCACATCATCATCCACCTCTGCCTACGGTGGTCAAGCAAGCTCTAGTTCTGGACGGTTCCGTGAGTCGCAGCTGGTGGACCTCGGTGATCAGAAGGGGAATCGGGATGATGACGATGAAGATGACGAAGATGAAGATATTGTGTACATGGGACAGGACGGCACTGTGTATCGCAAATTCAGATATGGGCAGCTGGGAGACGAGCAGGAGGATGAGTTAGAATATGACGATGAGAGCTACAACTACCGATAACTTCTTCAGCTGTTGAATGAAAATATATTCTGCAGGCTTCCTGAAATTTGTCACTTAGAATGCAAAAGCAACATGTATAATTAAACCAAAATGTGTGGACAGTTCAGCAAAGTTTTGATCTGAAATGTGAATAATTATTGTTTATGATGATGTAGTGACAATGACAAATTGTAGCTTAAGATTTCATTCAATAGTTATCTCAGCTGCTCGTCTTTTCTGATCTTTTTATCTTTCAGCTGTTATGAAGACTTTTTGTTTTGTTCTACCTGTGTGAGTGAATTTTTTTGGAATGTTTGCATTATGTCAACAGTCCCGGTGCAGTACTTTTCTTTACATGATAGTAGCAGAAGTACAAAGGATCCCAGAAGTACAAACGAGTACAAATTCCCCACTTATAATTTTGGCCTTGGTCATTTTTTGTTGTGAAAGTGTGTCAACTATGAATTTTAATAAAAGCATAACGTGTTAATTTACTATTTCGGTGTCAATTTTTAATATTTCAATTATCGAAATCCAGTGCAAAAATCCTTGTGTCCCTCCAGTTACATTTGTGTCTTCATATTTTTAAACATAATTCCAAATTGAACTATTAAAATGGTATTGAACCACATTTTGTGATGGTTTGCATCAGATAATAAAAGAATATCAAAGGAAATTATATTATATTTGAATATGATTAAAAACCTGCACTATAAGAAAAAACCTTATCTCTTATCCGTTATCTACCAGAACATTATGCATTAATTTTACAGACATTTCCTTTAACCCTAAAATACAATTCAAATGTAATTAAAAATATGGGTAAAATAACTGTGAATAATCAATACAAGAAATGTAATTCTTGTGTAAACTATTCCAACATAAAACGACATAAAATGTATTCATAGCAAATGTGCGTTTTAAAGAACTGGATAACCAGTATTGGAATATGCAGCGTTTTGTAATGTAAAATTAAATTCATTTCAAATTACTACGTTGAATTTATAATATCAAATGTATTAAAACATCAATAAAACATAATATGATTTTAAAAAGAAATGTCATAGGTATGAGAATATTACATAAAATAGCACCAATAACACACCTGCTCAGATATGATTTTAATTTATTGATTTACTCTGCAATATGACATACATCTCAATCTCAATATGCTCTGCTGGAGAAGGCCTCTGGAACAAATTTCATCTATTCATATTATTCAGTAGAATTTCAGTCTATAAGGATCATATATCAAGAACCAGGGACACATGCAGTGATACAATCACACACATAATGTCTCTCATTCACACACACACTTGTAGACTTCATTTGAATATTGTGCTTTACAGCAGTCTTTTTAAGTCCCTTTATTTCAGTTCCCAAACCTGTTAGCAGGAAGAACTTGGGAGACCTAACAGCATGTAAACACATAAACAGATAATCACACACGCACATACAAGCCTATTCACATACACACCCTCACACACTGACACAAGAGTTCAAAAGTAGACAGAGCAGTCTCACTGAACGTGAAAACCTCTGAAACAGCATGCTCTTAGGATATGACAGATCTTTGATTGTGGCAACTACTTTTACCTTTATACATGGCAAACACTCAAAAATACATCAAAGTTCTGAAACATCTAGGACTGATTTAGTGTTGTGAGCACAAGAACAACTAATGCATCACTATGGCTTGATTCTTAAAGGTGAAGTGTGTCATTCCAGCGCCCCTAGTGGCTCCAAAGAGAATTGTTCATGTGAACAATCAGGGGGGTAGTTTTGATACAAGTCTGATTGCTTGGAAGAGTAAGAGCCCACCTCTCCACAAAAGTCACACGATTTGAGGTTTTATTCAAAACCACTGATAATATTTAGAGTTAGTGGTTTTGAAATCCCCTTTGAATAATATATGCGACATTTGGGATTCGGAATAAAAATCATTAATTTTCTCCATTAAAGAATTGATTTATAATAACTTATAAAATACCTTAAAAACGTATAAACCATTAAAGATAGACCTACTGTGAGGTACAAGGTTGCAGTATGCTTTTGTTAAAGCTATAATTCATTGTTTCGACTTTTTTCCTCAAAAATTTTAAATTATGTTTAACGGTGAAATTCCTTGTGGAAAATTACTTTATGATTATATATATTATATCAACATCTTTGAATCTTTTTTTTCTCTCTGTGTTAATTAGATTCTGTCATTCGCAATACTTCATGAGATTTTTAGCTTCAAATCTAATTTTGTAATGTCGTAATTAACCTTGTAGCTTGTTGGTTTGGTTCATAGCTTATGTCTCTTTAATAATCCCTACAGGAAAAACAAGTGGATGAATTACTTCCATAACAGAGGTTGCACTCTATAGCAGTTTATAGTAGCAAGCACTGGGTTTCACAAATGTTCTCAAGCCACCTGTTGAGACAATATCCACTAATGTTTGAAAGAATGTTTAACTGCACAAATGTTTTAAAAGAGCCACAAAAGTCTTTATGTTACTTTGTTCAGGAAGTCAACCTGGGCTTAAAGTAATAGAGGAAGCATTTTAGCATAACACACTTGACATTTAAGAACTACAAATGATTTCTTCCTGCTGATTTTGAACTGATGCATATAAAGTGATATGAGATGTTGTTTAAATTTAAACCTGACTCATATTGTTTCTGCAAATGGGAATAATTAACTAGTGCTGTATTTTCTGTGTCCCCAAGTCATCAATTTAGCATGAGAGGGTAGAGAGTTGGCATTAGTGCTTACAGGGTGCTACGCTTTGAGAATAACCTTGCATGCACTAATATTAATACAGAGCAGCTGAAGTGACAGGATTTTGCCCTTTATGCATGCTCCAATTAGAAAAAATACCTGAAGGTGAAAATTAGGAGTCTAAAGGGGAAAGGTACTACATTATATTATTGCTAAAATGCCTCTCATGCATAATTCAAGTAACAAGAGAAACGTTTGCAAGACGATAAGAGACAAAGAATGATCCAAGCATCACGCTGGTTTAAGCTACTGTTCTGTGAGAAGAATTATTACATTTGAGGTGATTTGTGTTGAAGAACATGTGGTGCTGCACTATTCATCCCAGCACTGTGAGGTACCAAAGCACAAAAATACCCTTTTCTCTTATTTTATGTGATTATTGCATCCACATCAGTGTACAATAATCATTACAATATGAAATACTCAAAACCTTTACAGACATATTGTTCTTGCATCCACAGCCAGCGGCTCTTATGAACTGCTCGCATTGGGTTGAGCTCTGAAACAAATTTTTAAAAAGTTAATCATTATTAATAAAATATTGTGATCATTTAGTATTATTTTTTAAAATCTGAAAATTATTCGAATATACTTTACTATCACATTTTTCTTCTGTATTATAATGTATTTCCAAGCGAGTATATCTATATACAGGTGCATCTCAATAAATTAGAATGTCGTGGAAAAGTTCATTTATTTCAGTAATTCAACTCAAATTGTGAAACTCGTGTATTAAATAAATTCAATGCACACAGACTGAAGTAGTTTAAGTCTTTGGTTCTTTTAATTGTGATGATTTTGGCTCACATTTCACAAAAACCCACCAATTCACTATCTCAACAAATTAGAATATGGTGACATGCCAATCAGCTAATCAACTCAAAACTAGAGCCTAACCGATATGGGTTTTTTGGGGCCGATACCGATATTAGGGAATAAAAAAAAGGCCGATGCCGATAATCTTTGTGTATATTATAGTACAGTACCAGTCAAAAGTTTGGACACTTTCCCATTCGTGTGTCCAAACATTTGACTGGTACTATATATAGAATACAGTATATACAGTACATAAACAGAATATATATACATAAACACATTTTTTGCAATGATCACTCAAATGTGGTGATCAAACACTTATAATGGTGACAGAGATATGCAAGGGCATTTAACAATTTAACAATAAACTTGCGATGAGTGCGATGCACAAAGTAACGGGGTGTTAGTTGTAACACACGTGGTTTGAATATTTATTTTACCATAGTAACATTTAAATTCTGGCTTAAGTAAATTTTTTTATCTCAAGATTATTTTTAATTCTTAAAAAAAACGCCATTATTTTATTTGAACAAAAAAAAAATTATAATAATATAATAATTTATTAACAAAATATTTTAGTTTGTCTTGTATATTTTTTCATT